ATTTAATAGCTCATAAAAAAAAAAAAAACCCATAAATCATGGGGCTACACCAATTAATGTAGATGATATCAAGGGATGACAGCGTTTGATACAATATAAAACCCTCGCGTACCAAAAATACTATAATTATTGGAAAATTTTCAAAATATTTAATTTAATTTATTTTATGTTTCACTTGCCAAAACAATATTATAATTTTTTTATATAAAAAAACTAGAAAACCTTAATAATATAAAAATAAAAAAAAATAACTAAGAAAACTTTATGTTTTCTCAAATAAGCTCCTGCATTAATAATTAGACACCAGTAGTTGCATTGCTTTCACTATTCAAAGTTACTATGAAAGTTAATTTGAGATTTGATTTTTGTGTTGTTTTTATTTTTATAGGGTTATTTCAATTTTATATATATAATTATAGGGTTAACGAATTATTTTAAGTTGATCCAAATTTTTTTTTTATTTTTTTAATTTTATTATTTAATATTGACTTGTTCGATAATTGATTTTCATAGTTTTATTCAATTTATTTTTGCTAATAACTTTTTTTTATTAGCATGAATAATCACTTGATTAAAAAACAAAGTTATTATATATAATTAAGTGCATAGTTAGTATTACGAGATCAAATATTTTTATTTTTATTATTTTTAATTAATTATTGATTTATTTAACTAGAAATATACATAGGTATTTTGGTTTATGATTGTTGGTTTTTTTTTTAATTCAATTACACATTGAACAAGCTTATATATTCATTTGTTTTATCAGAAAAGAAATTATTTCACCAACTACAAAACACAAATCAAATAATTAGTTGTTTATATATACAAGACTTGAAGCAATATGATATCGTCTTGCAATTAAACTATATACGTAATCATTAACATTTAATTAAGTTTTAAGCATCCACCTACCATGATTATGAGTAGAGATTTGGATATATATTCTGTGCAATGAAGTTTGGCTAAGAACTGCATGTGCCTCTCTCCCAAATTATGCAATTATAAAATCAACAAAAACCAGTTATTAGTTGCCATATCTGATTCACCGACATTAATTTGGCAACACTTATGAAATATTTATCATTTCAAATTAAAAAAAGAAGAAGACAATATTAATAATAATATTTAATAATTGAATTGAAAAATTTTTACAATATAATTAGATGACTTACAATTGTAAAACCTGAAACCCAAAAAAAATTAAAATGTCATAGATTTTTGTATTAGTTTAATTTAACCACCCTCATCTTAGTATTATCATACAAGGTAATACTAATTAATTATAAAGCTATAACACTAAACTCGAATTCATTTTATTACACAAGACAAATTAGTTTTTAGATTTTTCTGTTTAATTAATTTGGATACTTTAATTTTTTTTTATTAATACAAGTGTTTAAGCTAATTTATATGTATCTCAATAAATTTTACATATTTTAAATTTAATAATTATATAAATCTTTAATAATCATAAAATTTATAAAATACAGACTAATAACTTTACAAAATAAATCTAAGAATCCCGAGTTTATCTATACGTTTATGACTAGGAGGATTTAATCCTTGCTACGATTTGTTACTGCTTCCACGGACGAAAAATATGAGCATAAAGTACAGTCCTGCTTCGTAAGAAGGCGTTTGGGAAATGGTCGTGTACCTTTTTTTGCGCTAAATAAATAATTTGGGCTTCCAAACAACCTTATATTCCGTAAGCTTTGGTGCCCAAAATCGGGCAAAGGACACTCATTGAGCCTAAATACACTCAACGGAAAAAAAAAAAAAACATATTATTGTATTTCATATCCACTGTATATTTTAAAAATATTTTATAAAAAAATTAAAACGAAAGTTAAATTTCTTGTAGTTATAATCATTTTTTTAATTTACAGCTAGAGTAAAATGACTCCTTTTCCGTTCCCAAACAAATCCACAAGTCTTGATTCATTTGGGTACTTGTATCTTTTTCCATGAAGCATTAATCGTTAAAAATTTATTTAATAGCATAGATGCCATTTTCATCTCTCTCTCTTTTTTTTTTCATAATAAAATGATACAATTAATGCTTTCAAGCAAGATTGTTGATCTATTATATGTTTTATAGATATAATCTCACTCATATTCCTTTATATATATGATAAATAAAAAAATATTAACAAGTGTTTTATACTCAAATTGATAAATGAGCTATAAAATATGATTGGATTGAATTAAGTTTAATTTTATTTTAAAATAATTATGTTTATAGTTGAATATCAATACCACATATTAGTATTTTTTTAGTCGTTTATTGTTATTGTTATTATTTATTATTATTTAAAAAACTTTTCTTTTTTAATATGAAAAATTATTTATTTGATAAGGTGTGTGGTTTTGCTTTAACTTCTCTTACTAATATGCTTAGGCATTGTATTCTTCAAAATTAGGTTTTGAACAATTGCCTTTTATTTTATTTTCTTTCTAAAAATGGAAGATATTAGTTGTTAATAACATGATAATTATTTTTATTACTATATTTGAATGATTTTTTGTCATGTATGGTGATTATATGAGTTGGTATCAACTAGTCTTCGGGGTTTAAATGTCTTCATCTATCATTAAGTCATCAATGGCTTAACTTTTCCCTTCAAATTTTTTTCTTCAAAAAGGATAGTGTAACGATTATATAATTATATGATTTTAGACTTATATAATTATATAATTTTTAGGTTGTTTTGAATAACTTGAATTTGAGTAGTTTTGGTTTTTTTATTAGGTTTGATAATATATTAAATTAATATTTTTTTAATTTTTGTTGATTTTTTAATTTTAAAAATATGCTAAAAAAGAGTAAAAATGTGCTGTGAAAAAAATCGTAATTCTAATGATTGAAATAATGGAATGATGTATGTTTGAATTAACATCATTTACATTTTTATACAAAGAAATTGAGCAAATTAATGTATAAATAACTATTGAAAACCTAAAACATTTATCTTAACTTAATAATTAAGAATTGTTTGAAAATGTGATAATAATTATGGTTTAAATTGTTTTTTTTTTCTTAAAAATGCAGTCTTCTCTTGATTTTGTTATTGAAGTTTATACCAGTCTTGCTTGTTCACTTTCTATTAATACCAGATCTATCCCTTTATCCTTAAAAACTGCATTTCGAAGCAATTCATTCCTTCTTTCTCTTTCTTACCTCAGCGAGTGAAGCTGCTCTCCTTACTTGAGCAATTCCTTCCTTTTTCATTTTCGTCGTGTGAGGAGCGATGTCCAAGTCTTTTTGTTGTTGTGGTTATAGCTGCTTTACCGACATCAGTAATTATTTCAAAAATAATATATATTTATTTTTTAAAAATTATTTTTGATATCAATTCATCAAAAAAATTTAAAAAATTAGATAAAATTTTTTAAAATTAAAAAAACTACAATTTAAACTATATTTCCAAATACCATCTAAAACTGAAATATTTTCAAAGGTTGTGTGTATATATATATTATGTCTAATACATCATTCAACACAAGATAAATGCAGAGATTTTTTCTTCTTTTTAATGGAATATGATGGGAATTGGGATTTAATTTGAAATGGTTAATTAATCCAACCCCAGAGCCCATTCCGAGCATGTCCCAGAAGGAGCCGGGTGTTAAGTAGGAAATGCTAGCCAGCCTCCACCAAAACCGCTCCCCAAGGCAGGGGCCTCTCCTCTGGTGGTGGAGAGTGACTCACGCGTTGCCACCTGCAGCGTGGGCCTTATGATGACACGTACAGTTTGCATTTCTAGCTTTTAGTACATGATGGTTATGGAGAATTAGAATAAGAGGTGGATTGGATACTTCAATTTTATTTTTTATTTTTAAATAAAAAATATTATTTTAATATATTAAAAAAAAGCAAACAGTACAACACTGGCTTATAGTAATAAAAGCTAAAAAGGGTTAATGGTAATTAATTAGCTCTTTATCGATAGCAGTGAAGAAGAAGACAGAGACAGACCGTATACGGAAGAGGACCATACCATACGGCTTTGTCACGGATGGATTCCACCTCATGTGTGAGTGGGACCCACTTCTTTCTCAAACCCCAATACCAAATAATGACACAGTCCTCTCTCTCTCTTACTATTTTCTGTTTCTGTCTTGCAGGAGTCACCTGTAACGTCTCTCGTATACGGACACCAACGGAATGGCTTCCTTTCTTGTTTAATTACTCACCTGCCCTTTCGTCTTTTCATCCTCATTTTCACCAAACTGATCTTTGCAGATTTATTTTTTTATCTTATTTTTTTTTTTTTTCGTTTTGAGAATTGATGTTAAAAACAAATTTTTAAAAATTAAAAAATGATATTTTAATATATTTTCAAATATTTATATCTTGTTTTAATAGTTCTTGTTGCTAGGTTGGTGAGATTTTGAAAAAATTAACTCTCTTCTGGGTAGATTGATGCATTAATCATTTATACTGATCTTTATTGTTGATCCTCTCCTGTTTTACTTGATGAAAAGAAGATGAGGTCTCCTGCAGGCATTAATTAGAGGGGGGGAGGCCTTTGTGGTCAATTCAGAGCTGGTTAAAAAACACAAACATGGCTTTACAGGGAAAAGCACAAGCACAAGCTCAAGCACAAGATGGCATGGTGGATATTAAGGAAAAAAGCAAGGACAAATTGACAAAAGAGATAGGCATAGGTCATTATCATGAATACCCGGTTTGTCTCCTCAGAAGTGGATCTTCGCACGTTATGGTTGTCAAACACTTATAAAACTCTTCCTCTTCCTCCTCCAGTCCAGAGAGAGTGAGTGAAGTTTGTGCTTTTCTCTATTTGATTTTCGGTTTTTTCTTCAAGAATATAAAATTTTGAGGGACAGAGAGAGAGAGAGAGAACCGCCAGCACTTGGCATATGCTTTCCCTGCACACTAGAAACAACAACAACAATAACAGTATTTACACCAACCCAACCGACTCTAACTCTCTCTCTCTCTCTCTCTCTCTCTCCTTTAAAGACAACCAGCTTCTGTCTACAATTTGATTCTGGATTCTTTCCGACTCTGTCTGTGGAGCCAACTTTTGTTTATAGCTTGAGAAGATAAGAAAAACCATCCCTTTTGAGCTGTGTTTTTTTTTAGACAAAACTGTGTTCTTTCTATTACTCTGTCTCTTTTTCTTTGATTTTAAGCTAAAGCTTTTAGATTTGCGAAAGGGCCAGTTTGGTATCAAGATAATGAACATTTTTGGTAGGGAAAGAAGTAAACTTTTTGGATTTTGTTTGCAGCTTAATGAAACAAACATTTGTTTTCTTGTTTCTAAATTTGTTTTCAAGTACTGAAGTTCAATTTAAATGGTTGATTAGAGTTTTTGGAATTGTTTTCATCAATGTTTGAATACGTGAATACTGAATGTTTTCGAAATGTAGTTGAGTGAGAAACAGTTTCTATGCATGCAAGTTCAGATTTTTCCTTATCGGTCACATACAAATAAGTTTATAGTCTAAATTTAGAGGCTTTTTTGTTTCTACATTGGGTTCTATAGGCTAAAGGGTTAAATATCTGATGATTTTGTTAAAATTTGGTTCAAATCCATGAGGAATCTATACTGGTTTAGGCAAAGCTCTAACAATGGAAAATCAGAGAGGAGGCTGTCTCTTGGAGAATATAAGAGAGCAGTTTCTTGGTCCGAGTATTTGGTTTCATCTGGGGCAGAGATTAAAGGAGAGGGAGAAGGAGAATGGAGTGCAGATATGTCTCAGTTGTTTATTGGTAACAAATTTGCATCAGGGAGGCATAGTAGGATTTATAGAGGGATATATAAGCAAAGAGATGTGGCAGTCAAGCTTGTAAGTCAGCCTGAGGAGGATGAGAGCTTGGCTGCAATGCTTGAGAACCACTTCATTTCAGAGGTAGCTTTGCTGTTTCGGTTAAGGCATCCTAATATCATCACCGTAAGCTCCCTCTTTCTTTAGTTGCATGTGTTAATGTCCTGTGCATGGAGTTCCATATTCTTTTTGTTATAATGTTTGGATTTCGAAAGATGGTGTTGATTATCATGAAACTAAATTCTTAGCATCTCTAAGCTACCTGTGACCTTACTTGTTAACAAAGGATGGTGGAAATGGCTTGTGATTTTGCTGCAGAACAATGAAAGTGATTCCAACATCTAATGTTTCCTGGCTTGGTTTTGTGGAACCAATTTGGTAGACATTCATTGAACTTTGCATATGAATTACAGATTACCCATGTGCATTATTTATTACGTTCTCCTTTTGCTTCTGTCGATAAGGAGTCGTCTAAAAATTGTCTGCAGCCTTAAATTTGCATACTTTACTAAATTGTGAACTTTGCTCCATGTGCTTGCAATCTTGTAAAAAAAAAAAAAACTCTTGGATATACGAATTCTAATTTGGATTTAACATCACCGATATTTTTCTGTTCCCAAATGATGATACTGAATGGTTATTTGCAGTCTGAGGCACTGTAAAATGAAGTGGGCCAGCAATGAAAAGTTAAAATTGATATTTATGGACATCATTGTTAGCTAGTATTTATGAGTGCTGTACTTACTTCACCTTTGCATTAAATATTTTTGGCAGCACATCCTCAGCAGTTAGAATTCTAGTGCTAAATCGTTAGTACGTATCTAGGCTATTTCATTAGGAAATCCATACCAGATGTTGCGATGGCCAGTGGCGTCTTTAGTAACTTCTCTCGATGAACAAGGATAGGATACTGAACATCTCAGCACTGAAGAATGAAGATTGAAGGAGAGTAAAAACAATTTGCCTTCTTATATAAATTTCTATACAGGAATTCTATGTCAGTGTTGTAAATGGACCGAAAAATGCCATATATCCTCATTTCCTCATGTTCTGTGACTCTTATATTTGGAAGATCAGTAAAATAAATGCAAATTCCTAGACACTTGGGAATGTTTTTCTGTACATATTAGCCTTTTTAATTTTTATACGTAGGCCGGCTTCGGATGTTGGGTGAATTGAAGAATCTCTAAACTTACTGGTATTGCACACAGGCTAAATGGTTGAATTAAATGACAAATTTAGCAAATTTTTCACTATTGTTGTTTACAAGTCACTCTGTCTTCTTGACTTTCTTCGTTCAGTTTGTTGCAGCTTGTAAGAAACCTCCTGTATTTTGTATAATCACCGAGTATTTGGCCGGGGGCTCATTGAGAAAATTTCTCCATCAGCAAGAGCCATATTCAGTTCCTCTCGATTTAGTTCTGAAATTAGCCCTTGACATTGCACATGGGATGCAATATCTCCATTCACAAGGGATACTTCACAGGGACCTCAAATCTGAAAATTTACTGCTTGGAGTAGATATGAGCGTCAAAGTTGCTGATTTTGGTATTTCCTGCTTGGAATCGCAATGTGGTAGTTCAAAGGGATTCACAGGCACATATCGATGGATGGCTCCTGAAATGATCAAAGAAAAACACCACTCGAAGAAAGTTGATGTCTACAGTTTTGGCATAGTCCTATGGGAGCTCCTCACAGCATTGACACCTTTTGACAACATGACTCCAGAACAAGCTGCATTTGCAGTCTGCCAAAAGGTAAGCTCAACTGATTCATTTTATTGGTATGAATCAAATGATTGTAAGGAATTACTTTTTCTCAATTTACGTGCGAATTGCACCTGATTTATCCTGTTATGCAATCAGCCAGACATTTCAATGCCTCAAGCCCTGGTTGTTTCAAAAAACTTGCTTTTTAAAAACAATACGATAAATGACAAGCTAGATCTGTAAGGAGGTTCGATATAATTGAGAAAATATTAGATGGTGGTGATTTATGAATTGAAAGTAAACATGCTTCAGTTCACATTTTTGAAGGGATTATAAGATTCAGGGTAGAACTAAAAGAAAGTGGGTCAAGTTTTATGAAACACGCAACCAGAATCAAGATTGAAGTTTTAAAGAGTTCATTTGAGTCCTGTTTTTGCTAATGATCGTAGCTCAACTGGCAATGTCCCTCTTCTTCTAAGAGGTCTGGAGTTGGAGCCTCTCCTCTGTTACCAAGAAAATTGGTGCAATAACTTCGAGTTTCATTAAAATCTCTTAGGTCATCTTGATATTAAGCCCCACTAATGCATAGGTTAATGATGCTTTAAGAACAACTATCAGGCAATACGTTTTTGAATATCCTAAAAAAATAGAATGTAATGAGGCACAATCTGATGCCAATTAGTCATTGACTAGAGGAGAAAGAATGCAAAGATGTATTTCATTTTATGATGGGGGTTATGCCTTGAGGTCGTTATCTTCTGGGTATGAGTGTCAGTAGAACACATTCTCATGAAGTTCCAAACCAAATTCATTCAGCCACATAGATCATCGTGCACTGTTAAATTCAAAGTGTCAATCCAAGAAATTTTAGAGGATGATGATACACAGGTTACCATGACTGGTCTCATGATGATACAAAAGAAATTTTTGAGGATGATGTTTTTTTGTCATGTAGTTCCCAATTTTCTACTCATGCTAGCAATTGTGGACAATATGATGGTGGTAATGAAGATATGGTGGTGCTGTAGGTCTGATATTTTAATATTAATGATATCTCTGATGGAGCATATTCATCTGGCCCAGTTAATGTATCCAGCACCATACAGATGGAGACTCTGGTTTTCGGAGTTGTTTGTCTATTAATTTTCTAGGCTGTCACCATGATGATAGATCTGATATAGACATGGCATCGTCACATATATTTTAAGCTTGCCTGATAAGATGTAGATTAGATTAGATTATAATTAGGATTATGAGAATAGCTTATCTGGAGGAGGTTAAGAGAAATGCATGTCATCCTATCAATATTATCCTAATAATACTTCATATCACAACTGGATAGAAATTGCCAGGTCCGTATTCTTTTCTGCTATCATCTAATAGATATCTTATCATCATCGAGCCATAGCAATATCTCGTTCGTCATGTTGCTGGTGGTAGTAAGTCTTGTTCTGGGATGTGCTCTTCAGTTTATCTGACAAGAGATAGCTATGGTTTCGTATGGAATGTCCCCAGATTTCACTTGTCCAAATGTGATTGACAATAGGAACATTTGAGCTGCAAGGAAAATACCAGTATTGCATCAATGATATGAAACTGCAATATTATATTACTACAATATTCTTATGCGTGGCCTGTTATCCATTGCGGACGTCAATTCATGACAATACCCATGTGCACATCTTATGGTCATATTCTCCATCGAAATAAATACATGACAAGAAGTGACATCTGTTTCTCATTACTTTCTTTCTACCTTCATTGAAATTTGATTCGTGATGGAGCAAATAAATTCAAGATCCAGCTAAAAATCTGTACAAAGTAGAAGAGTTGATGTGTAATGATATTTACATCAACCATTGTCGGGAAGCTACAGAGTTTCTGTAACTCTTAAGTGCATCTGTGGACCTTTGGCCTAGTGTTGAGACTTTCAGAGATTGCACAAGGTTTCCTTGTTATTAGCTTGGTGTGGTTTCTTGTGATTTCAGGTGCACGCCAAGATAAGAAGTGGATTTCTTTTCAGGGAAACTGTACAGTGGCAGTTGATTCAAGTACTTTTATCTGATATGTTTAGTGCTTTCTGCAGAATGCAAGACCGCCATTGTCACCGAAATGTCCTCTGGCTTTCAGTCATCTCATTAATCGATGCTGGTCGAGCAATCCAGACAAACGACCACATTTTGATGAGATAGTTGCGATCTTGGAAAGCTATTCAGAGTCCCTGGCGCAGGATCCAGAATTTTTCACAGCCTACAAACCTCCCACTAATCATAGTATTTTGAGATGCTTCCCAAAATTTATTGCAGGCCGTCGGTCCGCCTCTGTGCAAGCCTAGGAACTTGAGTTACATTATGTGTAATGAAACATGCACGTACCGTATTGTTTTCTAGGTTTGTTATTGTTAGGAGATTATGTACTTCCTTGCATCAAATATGTTGGAGCAAAAGCATGTATTATGTACCACATTTTTCCATTAAACTTGTTTCTTTATATTTCTACCAAGAAGATGTTTATAAGACCTCAATGATTGCTCCCAGTTCTTCATATTTCACTTGGATGTGAGAATTGAAACCTTGCTCTTGGGTCTTCACGATTCTTGTAGATCTAATTATTCTCAGTTTATCTCTCCATTTTTGCGAAGAGCATGATTATACTCACCTTTTATTTTACTTCTCTGCCCCCAAAAAAACAAAACAAAGGCATCAAAATGATGGTCCACACAGAGCTCTCTATTCGTTAAATTCACTTGGCATTTAATCTCAACTTTTCGCTAGTGAAATGCATGACAAATGTTATATATTAATTATTTCTTTTACGACAATCCCCAGCAAGTGACAGTTTGGCCGAGTGGTCTAAGGCGCCAGATTTAGGCTCTGGTCCGAAAGGGTGTGGGTTCAAATCCCACAGCTGTCAAGCTTTTGATAATGTTTTGGATTTTTCTAGAAATAAGATAAAGTTTGGGTATTTATTTCATTCGATGCAGAACTTTTTCACCGTTTTATGTTTATTGAAGCTATGGCATGTTACAATATTTTTAAAATGGAAAATAATAAAGTCTGAAATTAAATATTTTTAAAATGGCAAGTTACAATATTTTTATATTGTGCAATAGAATTTTAAAAGGGTTTTTTAAAGTATAGTAATGATAATTTTTTAAAGTATTTTTTATTGTAAAATATATTAAAATAATATTTTTTTTATTTTTAAAAAAATTATTTTTGATATCAACACATCAAAATAATCTAAAAATATAAAAAATATATTAATTTAAAATAAAAAATTTAAAAGCATTTTCAAAACTCAATATTAAACATTGTCTATAAGCAAATTTGCAACACAAGAGAAGAAAGCTATGATGTTCTATGATGTGTTTTTTATGTCATAAAAAAATAAATTGAAAATTGAAAAAATAATGTTTGTATTTTATTAAATGAATTGAAAAATATATGAATTGATGAATAGTAGAAATATTTTTTAATGCTAATTAAAAACTAAAATGAAAAATAAATTTTTATTAAATATAAAAAAATAATTGTTTAAAAATAATTATTAATACCACTATAAAAAAAACCTGTAATAATATTGTAAGACTATGGAAAAATGAGATAACTATTTAAATATCATTTGAGTAAATTTATTTAAATTAAATCATACTAAGATCACTTAAAAAAAAAAAAAAAGGTTCAAGTGTGCCTATGTTAGTGACATTGGCCCAAACATCTAATTTTTTTAAAAAAAGAAAGAGTTAATAATATGTCATATATCCCTATATATATTGAACGACGTGCTATTTACCTATAATATTATTTTATCATTGAATGTAATTCTAGTAACTAGAAAATTAGGATTCAAATATTTGGACCTTAAAAATCCAAATTTTAATTTTTATAATCCAAAATATTGAAAACTATCATATGAACTTTTAAAAACTCATTTTTAACTGCAAAATATATTTTAATTGGATAAAAAGGTTAAAATGAAACTAAATTTAAAATGATTTTCGAGTTCTTGTCTGGTTTTTGTTAAATTCTTCTCTTAAAAATAAATCTAAATATACTAAAATTACAGTTATTGGTGGCAGAATTTGTTCATCTAAGAGTTTTCTCTCTCTCTCTCTCTTAATGTCTTTCTCTCTTTTCTCTAAATATTTAGGGATCAAAATGAAAAAAATAATAATTTTAGGACATAAACATGAAAATTCAAAGAAAGAGGGACCAAGTTGAAGAAAGTTAGACTTGATGGACTGAATTGAATATTTTCACGCCAATTGAAAAGTAAAAGGGTGGTCAAATATTCTATTTTTTTAAAATATCAATTTCAGTTTTTAATCTTTCAATTTTATTTTTAAGATATTTGTTTTTTGTAAAATTTATTTATAATTTAATTTTGAAATATTTTCCAACACATTAGACATGCAAAATGAAAAACAAATGAGTTACCAAAATGCAAGAAGGACAAAATTTCAAGGACATGAAAGGAAAAAACCAATCATGAAATAAAATGGAAGAGAAGTTTAAAAGATGAACAATAAAAACTCAAAATCTTTTGGTTTCTTTTATAATAATTGTAATTGTAGTGTATTATAGTAGTATATCTAGATTGTTGGCTTGTGTCATGTTGTGTAGGTCGTATCAATTTTTTTTATGTAGAAAAAAAATTAAAGTTTTACTAATGTTTTTCTAGTAAAAAAAATAAACTATATAGGATTGACTTGATGTAATTTAGTTAACTTAGCAGGTCTAAATGCAACCTGAACAACAAGTAAAAATGTTGTTTGACTGGAAAAAAATTAAGATATTTTTTTTTAATATTGAAATAACAACATGTTATATCAAATGGGCTAACTTGAATTACCCTATTAAATTCACGGCTTGAGTTACCATAGCAATCCTCTATAAAGAAAACTGAAACAAATATGAAACTCAATTATCATTCAATTTATTATTAAATAATAAAATTAAAAAAAAAACTTAAATTAACTCAAGTTAACCTATCAAACCTGCAATTCAGGTTATGAGGTTAGGATAACTTCATAAATAAATAAATCGAAATAAATTATAAAACTTAATTGCAAAAAAAAAAAACCCCATTGTTTAGTGATGAAATTTTTTTAAAAAATCAATATAAAAAAGAGACAAATAAAATGATCTGAGCTTACCTGTGTTAACTTGTAAAATCAGTAACTTAGGTCATGAGATCAGAATAACCTTTTAGAAAGCAAACCAGAACAAAATATAAAGTCTAATTCTTAATTAATTCAATGTTAAAAGAATAAATTGAAAAAAAATACCAATTAAAAAATGAGAAAAAACTCAAGATAATCAGGTTTAGCCGCCAAACCCGCAACACAAGTCATGAGATTAAATAACTAATTATAAATAAAACAACAACAAATCATGAAGTTCAATTTCACATAAACTAAATTTTAAAGGATTAAATTAGAGGAAAAGATATAGGTTAAAAAAACAAAGGAAAAAAAAAACATTATTACAATAAATAATGTTGTGTGAATTGGTGGTATACAATAAAAGTACCACTCCTTTTAGTTTTTGGAAAAACCGATAATAAATGAAAAAAATCATTAATAATAAATAAGAATAAAATTAGAAAAATTGATAGATAAATATAAATCAAAATATTTAATCTTACAACACAAACCATTTTTCTTCGTTGTATTTAATGAATTAGTTTATTAAAATTATGTTTTTATTAAATAAAAAGATAATAGAAATTGACATACACATGAAATTAAGTGAATAAAATAAAAGAAAATAATACTATGCATGGCTGCATATATTATAAATATTATCCAAAAATAAATATTTTTTATTTTTTAAAATAAATTTAATCTATATAAAATGTAAAAAACGAAGAAGTTATAGATGAATCATACTAATCTCTTAAAAACTAAAGTACATACAACATAATTACAAAATAATTGCTACTTAAAAAAGTTAAATAAGCCAAAAAAATCACAGAAAATGAGTATTAATTAAAATATAAATTTTAAAAATACATGTAAAAAGGTATTAATTAAAACAAAAAAAAATAGGTCAAACATTATTGGGCCTAGTAAGCTAAGCGAGGCGCCTACCCCATCAAGAAAGGGCTTGTGCGCAGGCAGTTAAACTTGCCCGCCTCTTAAATAAAATACATGACGTGTCGTTTGGAATTACGCAAATTTAGTGACTGGAAATTTGGGGTTCTTGGCTTAAAAACTCATATTTTAACTTTTTTTTACTTAAAACACCTAAAAAACTTTAAACACCTTGATAAACCTATAAATGTCCATAAAAACCTATAAAACAACTAAAAAACATGAAATGAACTTGAAATAAAAACTCTTTCCAAGCATAAATATGGTTTTCTAGGCATTTTAACGTTTAAAAACACCTAAGTGGCTGCCCTCTCATTAAATACAACTTATTGGTACCTAGATATATATAAGTTTGATGGCTGAAATCATTGTGAATGCCAATTTTCTTTTTCTAATGCTGAAATCTAGTAAGTTGTTGTCTCTCTTCTCTCTAACTAGGGACTCAAACATAAAAAAAAAATTGAATTTTTGGATCAAAATTGAATATTAGACATTCAAAGAAACCTAAAATATATTATTTGTAACGTTTAAGGATTAAAATGTATTTTTTAATAAAAAATTTGTACACATCACCCATTTTAGCTGCCTTTTTCATTTAAATTCTTCTTCGTTCAATGTTGCCTTTGCCTAAAAAATTATAAGCAATTAACTTTCAATTTAGAGTCAAACTATCAAAAATAAAAGTTTGACGGCTAAAGAAAAAAGGAAAAACATACAATAAATGAATAGTAATATATGACTGTGAATAATGCAAAATAATGTGTTCTCTACAATAAAAATGTTACATGCTTTAGATTGTTTTACTAGTTATTTAACCAACGCTCCAGTGCGAGTTAAATAATATTTTTTTAAACAAAAAAAATCAAATAAGCAGGCTTTTCAACATGTTTTTTTACATAAAAATATTAAATATAAGTCAAAAAATTTATGCAAACATCTAATTAAATAAATTAAGAATCATCCATGTTAATTAAAAAAAAACATTCATGATAATGAAATATGTTTCTCAAAAAATCAAGAAACAAATGTGGGTTAAGATATTCTATATCACAACATAGATCATTTATTCAATTGGGTTCAATGGTTATATTTAATAAATTATTTTTTTATTTTAACAAATAATAGTAGAAATAAATATACACATAAAATTGATTGAGTAAAATCGAAAGGAAAAGAATATCTCGTAAGATTGTACTTATTAAAAATGCTATACAAAAATAAATATTTTTAAAAATAAATTTCAATTAAATAAAACATAAAAAATTATAAATGAATTAGAATAACCTCTTTAAAAACTAAATACTTACTATTTAGAAAAATGCTAAACACAAAAAGTTAAAAATTAAAAAGAGTATTAATTGAAATATAATTTAAAAAATTATTTAAAAAACACATAAAAAAGCATGAATTTTTTTATAAAAAAATTACAAAACAAAAAGAAAAAAAG